CAGTGTTATGCTAGTAAGTAGAACAGTAGATATCCCACTGATGCAATATATATAATTTCCATTTTCGAAGGGGTGTGGAAAGATGCAATTTAGGAAAAGAGTGAAGAAGAAAAAACCACCGTGCGGGACAAAAGGTAGTCAGATATATAGTACAGTACAAAGGTTAAAACTAAAAGAAAAAGTAATTTATATATAATGTAGTAGCTAGCTGATGAGAGTTTGAGTTAGGGAGCTGAGCTGAGTGAAAAAGGGGAGTCTAAAAATAATAAGGTAATGATGAAGAATCTCAGCTCCATTAAAGGGTGTGTGTTGGGAAAGGCAGGCTTCTTAAATATTTTTAGAGGTGTGTTTGTCTTGTTGTTTGTGATTGTGTTCATTTGTTTGTGTTGTGTGTTCCTATGTTCTCCTGTGGTGCATGTATGTATGTATGTATGTATGTATAGATTGAATTGGTAACAGGTTAAGAGAGTTGACTGACTGACTGACTACTGGTAGCAACTAGCAAAGCAAATTAAGAAGAGCTGTACATGTATGTAGTAGAAGTATATGACCTTGGAAATGAAAGTATTCAAACAAACAAGAATGAATGACAACAAAAACATTCTAGCCAGCCAGCAGTTATAGTATTAGTCATGACTGATGAGAGAGGACATCTTTAGCTACTCCTCCTATATGGAGTACGTAGCTAAGGTTAGTTTGATGATGAAGAAGATTAATTAATATTTGGGATTCTTGGAGGCCGGGTTAGCTAACCTACCTAGGTTTGTTTAAAAGCACACCTAAAATGGGAACATTTTCAATTAATAAGTCATCATTAGGAAAAATATTTTGTTGTATGTCAACAAACATTATATAGAATGTATAGTATGATGGCCAGAGGATCGAGCATCGTTGATGATCATCGATCAAAACAATATTGGATTGATTGACATTGTTTGCGAAAACGGACATCAAACAAATTGATAAATGAATCTAGCTAAAAAAAACAAATTAGGGTAAGCATTGAATTTATCGAAGGAGCGTCGTTTTATTAACTAACTACATGGCGCGAGTAGGCGGATTAATTTTTGAAATTAACCTTATTAGTTGACTAGAAATTTTGATCCTATTATCTCATGTAATGGATTAACTAATCTACATCAATGAATGATAAAATCCTATAATTTACATCGAACGGCTATACAGAAATGATCAAGAAATAAAAGAGTTTGATGTGATAATGTGGTATGACATATTATAGGTAAGAAAAGTGGATGCAAGATAAGAATATGTGTTATGTGGTGGAGCAAAGTTGTCCCCCACCCCCACAGATGGTAAGATAGTGTTTGCATTAAAAATGAGGTCAGAACCCTTTCACTCTCTTTCAGTAGTCTCTCATTTATTTCACTCTCTATAAAGGCTATGTGATTGTGTTAGGGTTTCAGATCAAAGAAAAGAAGCTAATAAGTGTGTGAAGAAGAAGTGGGGTGGTGGTGAGTGATTGCTGTTGAGGGGGATGTTGGCTGGCTCGAGGCTTTTTTAATCATGTAGCTCGATCTAAGCTAGTTTTAGTTGGTTTGATTGCCTGATTAAGGCATCGGACCAGGCTTCATTCCTCTCAACATTTATAATCAAACAAGCTTATTAGCTTCCACCATGCCATAGCCCACAGTACTCATATCATCTCTATCTTTTCCACATCATTTGCTAATCTTGGTTGTTGCTGATGAT